TACGGAGTGCATATTACGGCTGTGTTATTACTCGCATGTCATTGCGTTTTGGTGATGATGCCGATGCGAATATTAATTTATATGCAAATATTAAGTAAATGTATTTGAAATGATGTGAATTTAATGAAGTGTGGAAATATATTTACACATATGAGGTATGTTCCTCAAAAAAAAAGCTTATTTGTATTTTACAAAAAAGCCTTAATACGAAACCTAAGAAAATTCGAAAAAAGAATTTGGAATAAACAACTTTTGGAAGAAAATTAAATATGAAGTCAGTGAAAAAATATAAAGGAATAGATATTTAGATATTTTATTTTTACCAAAGAAGTTATTTCAAATTTTAGACTTAACACTTTTTCTTTTACATTCTCATTATTTTGCTCGATAAAATGTATCACTACACAGAATTCACACAGAATCGTACATTAAGACTTTTTTATCATCGTATTTATCCAGGTGTCTGTGTGAGTAGTATGTTTGTGGGGGTTCAGAGGGAGAGTGATGCCCTGTTGTGGGCATAATTAAATATTAATGGTGCCAAGTGTCTATGTTCGTTAAGTAAAGACACATACCTAATTCATTAAATTTCAAGAGCGTTGCAAACATTGTGCGTTTTATTTTGAATGTTCCTATTTGAAGGTGTAATTCTTGTTTGATCACAGAAAAAATCTATTTAAAATCACTATTTTCTTAATTTTCACTCCGTATAAGAAAATTAGAGTTGGGCAATCTAGTTCACAAAGCCAATCGATCTTTCTCGTTCCTTTTCTAAAAAATAACATGTTCCGGCATATAGTTCCTTCATTTCAAATAGTTCCGATTGTACATATATAGTTAATTTGAATATTTCTCTTTCGCCGTTTATTTTCTCTTCGTCGTGGTTTTATTATTTCTAAGTAAAAATTATTATCCATTTAACGTAACAAACTTTAAAAAAATGCCCGACTTATCTGATGTGAAAAATAGAATTCCATGTGTGGACATATATTCATTTATTTTACAATGCGGCATCTAAAAACAAAAGAAAAGAACGACAAAAAAAAATAAAATTGAAAGATCAATCAAATGAAGATTTTAGAACATATAGATAAACGAGAAAAACAAAAGTAGTTAGATAAACTAAAGACATGGATTTAGTTCCGATCGTTCCTTTCACAATATAATTTTTTCGAACTAATTCGTTTCAGAACTACCCAACTCTAAAGAAAATAGAAAAATAAATATAATAACATGGTATTAGTTTTCAATGTTAATCTTAATGATCTGTTATTGAAAAGTGAGATTGCCAACCTGAGTTAACAAATTACCTTTGTTTATGAAATGTATCTAGTTTCGATCGCTCCTTTCGCGGCATGATTTATTCGAACTAGTTCCTCCCGGAACTAACCAACTCTAAAGAAAATACAAAAATAAAAAAAAAATGTTGGTATTAGTTTAAAATGCAAATCTAAATTTTTGAAATCTAATCTTTTATTGAAATGTGAAATTGTCAACGCGATTTGACAGATTACCTTTGTTTATGGGATTAGATCGGTAGATATTGTGTATATGCAAACAAAGCCACAATGTACCGAGGTGGTTGGACGTATCGATGCATATAAGAAAATCTCTAAGACCAACACGGGCTGAGAGAGTGCTCGAAGAGAGTTGTTGAATAAAAAATTTAAACATTACCTTACGGTCCAGACTCTAAGGGTGTTGTGAGCAACTTTTTAATCCAATAATACACTAAGCGCACTAAGCGAAAGTAGGCTCTCTGGATCTATCGACAAAACGCAATAATAACATATACATTCGATGATTATTGCGCAGCAATCAAGTCATGTAATTTTTTAAGACTTGAATCTCCGCATCTATCTAGTTGCCTCTATTAGTAGGGTGTTTGTGGGGGCTCAGACAAAAAGCGGAACCTCCTGAAATCATTTTAACTTAATATTCATAACGACAAAACAATATTATAGTAATAACACAAACACCAATGATGAAATTTCAACAGCATTGTAAGAAGTATGCATTACGTTATGAACGTTTAACCCTTTTTAGGGATATTTCTGCAAAACTGGGTTAATGTGCAGAATTCACTTCGGCAACTCGTTTTCTCTTTATTTCTCGTGTCTCTATCAGTAGTAGGTTTTTGGGAGTTCGCCAAATACCAGTGTTGCCTAATTTCAGGGCTTGTTATGTGATAACACAACCTATAATCAATATTGTAGTACATCCACAACATACATGATTTAATTTCATCAGTGTTGCCAACGAGTGTGTCCGTTGTTCATATTGATGGAATTAGACCACAGATGGCGCTATGCGATCGATGTTTCAGATCAATAATGCTGTGAGTTTTGTCATCACAAATAGTAGGTTATTCCGAATGCAGATGTAACGCTATTATTCTGAAAGTAGTATAGTATATTCCACAAATATACTACTTTCATCTACGATGTATTAACATTGGAAAATGGGTAGAAATGTAATTTCTTCCCATGTTATATGGAACAAGTTGAACAAAGTTAGTACTGCAGTGGAATAAGACATTAATTCTAGTCGATCACACTGAAAATTTATCGCTTTTCGTCTGACACCTCACAAGAGTACTACTCCAATCCGAAATGCATTAGTATTCAGAATTTGAATAGCTCTGTAGTTATTTCTCATGTTATAATACTGTCTTTGCTTTTGTCTTACCCAACCATATATATATATTTTCACCTCTGATGGTTCTCCTTAATTTTCATATTGTTTCCGATTTTCTTCTGAAATGTTAAGACCCAGTATTTCAATTGAACAAACCTCGTATATACATATATATGTAAATAGTGCCCTGCTATTATTACGTTTATTGTTTATCCTGTTACCGCTGATGATGATTATATTTACAAATTTAATCAATAATATAGGCGTCATTGCCATAATGATTAGCAGAAATTCCCATCTGACATCGAAAAACATTTGTTTACTGCAATCCCAGATTTTCCAATGGCTTGAACATCTGGCCCATCGCACCACCTACCGCAGTCTGGGCAATGGATTGTAATGGACAATAATATGGAAATTATATTGCTGTAGCAGTTTTTAATTATAATTTGTAATGTTGTTGTTGTTGCTATGCTCCACCTACGTCATTTGCTTTAAATTTAATGAGAAAATTGTTATTGAAATGTGGATATTTTTAATGAACAGAACCGAAAAATCGAATTTGATTGAATGTAAACTGACATTATTAACAGAGATTGAAATGAGCAGGAAATTACATGGAAATTAATTTTATTATGTGGAAAAAAAATTAAATTAAAAAAAAAGTATCAGAAAAGAAATATATATAAGTGAGGGTTTATTAAAGTAAAGTTTTGTGTTGAAACCCTTTTAAATAATGGCAAAACTGTTGAGAATTCAAGTTATTAATGCACGGCATTTCATCCTTTAAAACGTCTTCAACATTGGACAACATTTTGACATCCACACCATATTACTCTTACCAAAGAGTTTTTTTTATTCAGAAACATTAAAGACATTTTCTCTATATATTTGTTAGATACGCTAGAAATATATGCAGAGTGAGATAAAAGAACTGCAGCAAATTCAAACGCCACCAGTTTTACATTTTTTTATTTAATTTTATTGAATGAAAGCAAAACATGTCGGAAATAACATCAAATTTTAGATTAAGTTTAGATTTGTTCGAATTGGTCACCTTTGGCGCGAATTGTGGCCTTCAAACGGCAAATGAAACCGTCACACGCTGCCCGAAGTTTGCTCTGCGGTATTTTAACGCATTCCCGGCGAAGCGCTTGCTTGAGGTAATCGACACTTTGGATTGGTACCCGGAGATTTTGGTGGCCGTTGTGCGCTGGAAATGAGGAGAGGAACCTCATTTTACAACCATTCTTGGGTGGCGCATGCTGAGTCCTGTAGGAATGTCCAATGTCTGCGGACAAAATTTTTGCGTGACCAAGGCTTTAATACACCCCCCAGAATATTTTCGCGATGATATTAGGCATTTATTCTGATGCTACGGTCGATTAATACGAGCGGAGAGCGACCATCGACTGTTATGGCGGCCAACACCATCACAATGGCCGGCGCTTGAGTTCTGGTGGCCAACCGAAGGTGCACATTTTCAGCTGAGAAAACCAAATTCGGCAGTTCACCACTTTCGGTCAAGCGAAACAACTCTTAAGGTAAGGTCACATTGAGCAAATATTTGACACAAATATGTTTTATCATATTTTCCCAAAAAAATGTTGTTTTCATACAGAGTTGATTTTATGTTCACATTGCTCACATTTATTTGACAAATTTTGTTTGTTCAAACACCCATCAAATAGTGGCAAATAAAGCAATGACAAAACAGGTTTGACGTGCGGTCACATTTGAAAAATATATTTGATTAAAAAGCAGTTTGATCAAACTATCAAAAAACAAAAAATTGTTTGGTCGAAATATTTAAAAGAAGCTATGCAGCAGGAAGAGGCGCTTTTTATTTTATGTTGTGGTGCAGCATCATATATTGCTGTCAAAGAGGACGAATCCATGAAAAATAGAAAGAAAAGACCATGGGTTCGAGAATGGTTGCGTCAAAGAAAGGAGGAAGGATGTTGCGTCAAATTGCTGACTCAACTGCGGGCTGAAACACCATCGCTCTATAAAAATTTCTTGAGGATGAACGCGGCAGATTTTGACAATTTGGTGAGTTTGCGTATAATTGAGATGAAATCTATAATGTTTCTATCATGGACTCCTTAATAGCTTAAATTAACGGCACCACTTTTAACCAAGAAGACGACACAATTACGTGAGCCGATTTCAGCTTCAGAACGGTTAATGGTTACACTGCGATACTTGGCAACAGGCGAGAGTTTCCGTTCTCTGCAATTCATATTCCGTATACCTCACAACACTATTTCAACTATCATTCCTGAGGTTTGCGATTCTATTTATAACGTTCTACAACCTGATTATTTAAAGGTAAACTATTAACTACAGCGTAAGTTGGCCGAACTTACAAACGGAATTACAAAGTTAATATAGCTTCCATAGTATAATTGATAAATTTGTATTGCTTATACAGACCCCATCAACGGAAACAGAATGGCTAGCAGTATCGGAAAAATTTTATGAGAAGTGGAATTTCCCAAACTGTATTGGGTCTATAGACGGCAAACATGTCGTTATGACAGCGCCTTCTCATTCCGGAAGCATTTACTTCAACTATAAAGGCAAGTTTATTACTTTACCTATATTGTAATCAATTGTTATTATTTTAATTTGTTATAGGAACTCACAGCATTGTACTCATGGCTATTGCAGATGCTTCCTACAAATTTTTATATATTGATGTTGGGTCCAATGGAAGAATATCAGATGGTGGAGTTTTCCGAAAAACGTCATTTAATAAAGGTCTGGTTAACGAAAAACTAAATTTACCACCACCAGAACCATTGACAGGCAGAACAGTTTCAGTTCCTTATGTTCTTGTTGCGGATGATGCATTCGCTATGACACCCAATATATTAAAACCTTTCAGTGTCCGCAATATGAATGCAATTCAGAGAATTTTTAACTATCGTTTGTCTAGAGCTAGACGAGTTATAGAAAACGCATTTGGAATTCTGTCTGCCCGCTTTCGTGTACTACGAACCCCAATAAAGGTTGATCCACCAAAAGCAATAAAAATTACTACTGCCTGTTGTGTGTTGCATAACTACCTGATGTGCCGCAATAATTCGATATACTTCAACCCAAATCTAGTGGACCACTATACACAAGATGGAACACTAGTACTAGGTGAATGGCGCAGTGAACGGGCCTCTGATAGTCTTATAAATCTACAACCTCATCGGTCTTATATTGCACCTAATTGTTCTACTGTAAGGGACGAGTTTTCCCAATATTTTGTAGAAGAAGGCGAAGTTCCCTTCCAATACAAACATATATAAAAGTTTAAATAAAATGATATAAAACAATATAATTCTAAAGATTTTATTTACAAGCTTTTAAAACAAATGAGATCCATAAACCGGAAAAATAAAAAAAATTCATTAATTATTTTAAAAATTAATTAAGTGATAAGTCAGTCATATAATAAAAAGAAAATAGGGATGTTTTAACACTCAAATAAATGATTGCTTCTCTCCTCTTCCAAACATTGTAAAAAAAACAATGTAACTTTATTTCTAACTGAAGCAGATCCACTGTCACTGAGTGTCTTCAGCTCACTTAGGAGATAGTTTGCGAATGACGTGTTGGGATCCAAGCTGTTTTGGTTGCGTTCTTTCATTGCAGCAACTGCCTCCCGCATAGTCTCCGCAATTTGTGTTGTTGCAGATTGCACAGTTGGAGCCTATAACCGCCGTGGTGTTGATGTTGGTGGTGGCGTTGGCAAAGATGGCGATGCACAAACATCAAAAGCTGTAGAAATATTGAATTGAAATATTAACAAGGTAGAGATTTTAATATATATATACAAATACGGAGCAAGGCGAGCGTAGGGGCTAAGCTCGGATTGACCTGAACAAAATGGTTATTATTTGAAAGCTTTTGGAATTACCTATCCAAAAAGTGGTCGGGGTTGTTGGAACCGGTTCCGGAGTAATACAAGGAAAATTGTATTTTAGTACCATTACTTTTTGAAAATTCTCTGAAAACTTGAAAATGGACTCCATATGGGGTATAAAGATGTCCATACTACATTATGCATTAGTATAGTATAATGAAGCATGGACATTTTTATACCCCATATGGAGTCCATTATCGAGTGTTCAGAGATTTTTCAAAAAGTACTGGTACAAAAATACAATTTTACTTGTATTGCTCCGGAACCGGTTCCAACAGCCCCATCATACGACCCATTTTGTTAACCTCTAAACTCGCCTTATACCACGAATACTTACAATTACTTTCTGAATCTATTTCTATTAATAGGTTTGAAATTGTGTCTTGCGTCTGAGCCTCTTCATTTCGTCCTACAAACTTCATGACATTAAAAAATCTCCATTTAGGTGGTTCAACTGCGCCTTGTCCCGACTTTGTTTTGGACCTGGCCGCATATCCTCGATACTGTATCCTCAAGTTTGTCCACTTTGCGGTGAGATCTGCAGGGGTATATTTATCATCAAATTGTTCGGAAATGTGCCGCCATGCGTTGTCGCGGAGTATTTTGTTGTGGTATCCATCACATCCCGCATTCCACAGACAACTTTGTTCCTCCACTAGAGCAATGAGTTTAAAAATATCTTCCTCTGCCCACTCCGTTGCAACCCCGAGATTTCTTCTGCGGCACTTCATATTCCATTTCCATTTTATTTATTCGTTTTTTTAGAATCACTTCTTACTTTAACTTTTAATTTTTCCTTTTTGTAGGTAAACGTTTATCTGCACAGCTGTTTTGCATGTAAATGTTGTCAATGTCGTATTTGAAATAAAAACGCTTTTAGCGATCAACGTCTTTTGGGATTTTAATATACAACTTTTCAGTTGTAAATCGAATAATTTTGGTTTTAATTGGTAACATTCCATTTGTAATTCGAGAAATAATTTGTAATTCAAATTATTGCGTTTATAATTCGAATATGTCTAGTTGAATTGAATTTCAATCCAGTTATAAATTGAGAATTCTATTTGTAATTCGAATAATTCAATTTGCAGTTCGAATAAAACTAAATAGAATTGCAGTTGGAATTCTCAATTTAAAAAAGGAAATTATTTGAATTACAGACATATTTCTTAACTTACAAATAAAATGTTACGAATTAAAACTAAAATAATTCGCTTTACAACTGAAAAGGTGTAGTATAACGAACAAAAAGATATTTGCATCTGCAATGCAATGCATATGCAATAAAAGTGATTTTTAAATATAAAAAGCTGACAACAGTGATGCAACAGCTGTTATTTCTCACTGTTTTCTCATACAAAACCATTGCAAGGTCAAATAAATGTTTACTCTAAATAGAGGAAAATATTTGATTACAGGTGTTCACATTGTGGCCACATTGATCAAAATTTTCTTTGCAGGCAAATAACTTTGTTTTCTCGAAATCAGCTGTTTTTGTGTTTGCCCTACAAAAATATTTTGTGGTCAGATTGCGGCAAAGAAATATTTGAACTTTTTCGTCAAATATTTGCCCAATGTGACCTTACCTTTAAGCTCTTTTGAGTCTGTTTTCTTTCTGTTGCGGTGTAAGTCTTTGCACTTTTTGGAATCTCAATGGCTTTACCCCGACTCCATTTTTCAATATTTGCCATCTTTCGACCACTGCGACGCGGGTTTCCATCAACACTCTATCACGCTTAATTTCCATCACGAATAAATTGTTTTTGTGGAAAATTCTCAACAAAATGCTTCTGTACGCTTGTAAACAATATAATGAGCTGTCACTGGAATAATTTTAACAGCTTTCGGTCGAGTCGCTTATTAATGACAGCAGTCTGAAGTTGGTTGCAGTTTTTTCATCTCACCCTGTACTTTTCTGTGGTGTAAATAGCAAATTTAGTTTTTCCTAATTGATTTTGGTTTTGACTTCGCAGATTTGGGAGCGCCTTTTTCCTTACAAGCCAACGGGTAATGTGGGTTTTTAATTTGTTATTAATTTCATAATGGTTGACAAAACTTTAACTTAACACTTCAGACACTTTCTAATTTACAACCAATTAACTATTCGCCTGTAACGGATAAACCTAATTCCCAATTGTCTTACCCTATATTTTCCTTAATCCCGTCATTATTTTCTGGATTAAGAAATGCGTTGCTGACAAATATAAATTGCAAAATTTACAAAGCAAAACGTCAAGAATTAGAATTATGAAACAATGCATTAAACTTATTACTAATAGCTTATTAAAAAGTCAAGCTTCTAGGCCAGAGAGTCTTTAAGGAAAAATTACATTTAAATCCCCTAGAATAGTGCTCAGCAAAACAAAAGCAAGTAGTTCATAAAGCCTTGCCAAAGGAAAACCAACGTAAAACACAAAGAACGTGCTAGGCTTAATTTTACAGATTTAAGAAAACCCAACGAACTACCAGCTTTTGAAAAAAGAAGAACTGAAAAAATACCGCATTGAGTGGGTGGCAATCACTTAGAATAGCCTCCAGCCACCTTCCCCCGCAGAGACACGTAATAATGACATGAAACCATGAAATAATCACGGAGTTGTTATATTCGAGCCGCCCAATAAACAAATGAAATGAACAACTAACTAACTCAACTCGATACAATATCTTCCTTGCATGGCTGGATGATACATCCATAACTCCGTGGTAGAGGTACACATTCCGTCATCCAGCAAGGTAGCTATGCAAGAGCATTACCACGGATTTTTTGTTGTGTTGTGTATTGTGCCTGAAGAGGAAGAGCCAAAACGTGGCTACTGAACAATACAAAGGATGCGGAAACGGTTTTGGCATTAGCGCAAAAAGCGGCAGCAGCACAAACAAAAGCCTTACATTAATCTGGCTAAGACATTATCTATACGCACGTGAACAAATACACCTTCGAACATTTGTAAACGTAACCACTAATACAATTTTCAACAACAAAAGTTTGCACAAATACCTTGTTATATTTCAGTAGCTAAGTTCCACTGCCAATGATTCATTCGGAGGATGCTGTGTATTGCTCTAATGCCTTCAACATTGGTGTGTGTGTGTGTTATGGATAAAGGTACTGGTATTGCCGTTTAATATTTAGTTCGGTATTAGAATTTTCCCAATTTTTTTAGGAAGCCCAAAAGGTTCCTACTTTAATATATTATAAAATGGTACTGCATTTATACTCTACTTATACTAAAACTACATTTATTTATACTATAAAGCGATCAGTTTTTGTTGAAAAATATTGGATTTGAAATCTCTCCTTTAAATTTCAACTAAAACGTTTTCGAAAACTTAATTTGAAATTCGTTAAATGCTCTATATAATTCCAATTTTTTATACCCTACACCATACATAGTAGGAGGGTATTTTAAGTTCGTCATTCCGTTTGTAATACATCGAAATAATAATTTTAGACCTAATAAAATATATACAGGGTGAGACAAAAAAATTGCAACAAAGTCAAACACCATAATTTTTTCCTTTTTTAAATTTTATTGAATGAAAGCAAAAAATGTCGGAAATAGCATCAAATTTTAGAATAAGTTTAGATTTATTCGAATTGGTCACCTTTGGCACGAATTATGGCCTTCAAACCGTTGCCCGAATGTTGCTCTGCGGTATTTTGGCCTATTCCCGGCGAAGCGCTTGCTTGAGACGATCGAAACTTTGATATTTTTCAGTGCCAACCTTGCTCTTCAAAATACTCCAGACTCAATAGTCCAACGGATTGGTATCCGGAGATTTTAGTGGCCATTTTGCGCTGGAAATTATGAGAGGAACCTCATTTTGTAACCATTCATGGGTAGCGCGTGCTGAGTCCTGTTGCCAAAATGTTTGCGTGTCGAGGCTTTAATGCACCCTCCAGAATATTTTTCCTATAATATTCGGCATTTATTCTGATGCAACGGTCGAGCGGAGAGCGACCATCGGCCATTATGGCGGCCCACACCATCACCATGGCCGGCACTTGAGTTCTGGTGGCCAACCGAAGGCACTCATTTTCAGCTTACCTCTTTGACAAGTAAACACGATAATTTTATTTGTTTACAAACTGCTGGACAACGAATGTTTCCTCATCGGGGAAACTCAAATTCGGCAGTTCACCATTTTCGGCCAAGCGAAGTAACTCATTAGCTCTTATGAGTCCATTTTCTTCCTATTGCGGTATAAGTTCTTCCATCACATTCTCATGCTTGAATTCCATCACGAATAACTTTTTTCAGGAAAATTCTCACCAAAATGCTTTTGAACGCTTATAAACGATATAATGAACTGTCACTGGAATAATTTTAACAGCTGTCGGGCGAGTGGCTTAGAAATGACAGCAGTCTGAAGTTGGTTGCAGTTTTTTCCTCTCACCCTG